GGCAGGCGCGGGGCCCGAAGTTCCTCTCCTCCTGGTCCAGCGACCACAGCCGCCAGACGGGCGCCGCGGGGCCCGCCTGGCCCGGCCGCTCTGGGAAAGGAGAGACGGGAGCACAGCGCACGACACGCTGGACGACGATTCTGGAGCCAGCCGGCGCGCAGGAGGCAGGTAGGGTACGTGGAGCCGCTCGCGTCCCTCCCGAGAAGCGTCTGCGGCCGGCCCGGCGCCCGGCTCCGGGGAAACCGCGCCCCGCCGCGTGCCCGCGCGCCCGTCCGTCTGTCGGGTCTGTCCAGCTGTCTTTGTCTCTGCACGCAGCTGTCAGGGTCTGCCCTCTGCGGGAGTGGGTGCTGGAAGAGAGGGTGCGTCCGTCCTTCTGTCTTTGTCTCGTCTCCTGCAGACAGCGTTTATCGACTCCCGGCCCGAGTCTGGTCTTGGTAGACGTCACTGTGGGTGACAGTGATGTGGAAGGTGAGGAAGCCGGAGGTGTGCGTGAGGCCGCAGGCGCCTGACCCCAGGCGGAGGGTCTGACAGCTGGGGCCCGACACTGAACTTGCGTCTGGAAGTTTGGAGATGGGCTGAGTCCGCACTGGTGGTGGGGACTCGGATTGCAGTTAGAGAGTGGGAATGCTTCCCTGAAGGAATATGTCACACTGGCTGGGGTGGACAGAGAGGGGGTGATGAACCTCGGTATTTAAGTGGGCCCGTGAAATGGCAGGTCACCAGGGTCAGTCCTGGACATGCAGTTGAGCCAGAGCAACACAGACGCGCACACACACACACACACACAGTCGCACGCCTACGCACACATCATATTTACTTCTTTCTTTCACCCACCACAGGCAGCCAGCCCCCTGTCCATCCACACACACACACACACACATACATACATACATACATACATACATATACCCTTCCACATGCTTAACTGCAACCTTCAAAGCATACAGTTCAGCAGCAACAGGCACCAAAACACCAATAGCCAGGTGTTCTTTCTCTTTCCTGCTCCAAGTGGAAAGTATTGAATGGGAGCAAATAAGTATTCTGCTCGCCCACGAGTGTGTCAGGCCTAGAAAAGTGTTCCAGACTAGTTAGCTTCAGAGCCCTTAATTTCCCAGGAACAAGAGATCTGAGCAACTGAAGTTTCTGGGTCCTTTCTCTTCCATTCAGTCCACACTGCTGGCCATCAGCCCCTCTGCTGTGGTCTCGGGTGCTTGAGCACTGAGTTCTGGAGAGCTCTTGGCAGGAGTTGTGCCAGATAAGGGTCTCCTGCTTTGCTGTAAGTGCAGCCTAATTGTAATCGTGGGAGCCAAGGAGACCAGCTACAGAGATGAGCTGTGTGCTTGGCAATTCTTCCTGCACCAGAGACCCTGGAGAAGAGTCTATGGGCAGGGCCAAGCTAGTGCTTGTAACCTGAGCTTACTCTAAGTTCAAAAACAGTTTTCTGTGGGCCTGCTGGGGAAAATACAGGTATTGGAAGTATGTATCCGTATGTACACACATGAAAATGGGTATTAGAGACAGCGTTTACAGGCAGGAAGAGTGTTTGTGTTCAAGGATGGAGAAAAGCAGAGTCTGTGGGTGGACCTCTGCGGACAGAGACATACCTACTAATCAGGTGTGGCGTTTACACCTTGTATTTATCCAGCGCCTTTCTTCTGAGGTGCTTTCTGCACATCTCAGACGTTATCTCATGTGTTATCTCCCGTCTCCTCACAGCGTAACTCCCAGGTTGGCATGAAGCACAGTTAGCTCTCTGTGTTCTGTCAGTGCAGAAGCTGAGGCAGCAGAGGGGCAGGGATCCCCGGGATCACAGCTAATGGGGCACAGTTGGGCTTAGCAGCTGGGAGTCCAAGTGCAAGGTCTCAGCTAGGTAGATGTGAGTGTGGGCACTCACTCTGCTTGAGGTGAGAAGAAGCTCAGGTGGAGAAAGGAGGTGTCTCTTGAAGGTGTCTCTGTGCGAGCAAGAGGGAGGACAGGACGTTTGAGGTGGTTGTTGTTTAACATTTATGGCAGCCTCTGTGCACTTCACAAGGTAAAACCTGTTGTAACCATTCAGCTTGTGCATCTGTGTCTGTAGGAGGAGCCCCCGCCGGCCTGTGTGTGCCCCAGTCGACGTGTGTGCGTGGGGGTCCATTGACAGTGTGCTGGGGGAGCCAGTGCAGTGGGACTGTGTGAGAGAAAGACCGGTCACGAGGTTTTGAGAAGCCGTGGTCTGCCTGTGTGCGCCAAGAGGTAGATGGGCCCCAGCCTTATAAAAATGGCTTCCTAATCCCCCAAAATTGTTTATACACCTTTGTACTTACTTGACATTCATGTAATAAATATTCATTGGGTGCTTTCAAAATGCAAGGCTCTGGGCCAGACAGTGAGGCTACAAGGAGGAGGGGGTGGTGGTAGTGAACCTGTGGTTCAGCAGCTTCCAGACTAGTGTCACGGGTGGGAGTTAACACTGCTTAATACCATTCCCTAGGTACACTGTGTACCCAGTACGTTATGTTCATTATCATTTAATCTTACCCACAGCCCTGCAGGCTATGGATGATACTCAGACAAGGAGAGTTAAAATAATGTAGCTAGGATAGAAAATGGAGGATTTGAACTCAGCTCAGCCACTGGCTCTTTCACTTTCTTCTGCTACCTTCGAAACATAGAAATACATCTTTCTTCGCTGTAAAATATTCTTGCCCTGTCCCTCTACCTCCATCTAACTAGCTCCCGCTTGCACTTGTGGTTTTAACCATAAGGATCAACACCTCCAAGAAACCTTCCCCTCTCCTTTGTGTACGACTGGCTCACGTGCCTTCCTCTGAGTTGCTACCATCAATCCGTGCTAGCCTGGCATGTACCCACTGGCTCCTGAAGAGCCTGCGATGTTTTCAGAGGCAGAGATTGTGAGGTAAATCCTCAGCTCAGAGTACAGTGTTTGGCTTGTGAAAGGCCCTTAGTATGTGCTTGTTTAATAAGGTAATGGGAGAGAAGAGCTGGCAGGGAGCACTTTTCCCGGCAGCGGATTTCTGCATGGGCCTCTGACTTTCCTGCCTCTATTATTGGGCCAGCTCCTTTAGGGCCTCTGTCTGAAGGGCTTCTCCATCCCATTTCCTGCCTCCAACAGTTTAGGAGCCTAAGGAAAACCTAGCCCCCACCCATCCTGCCAACCCACGTGCTCTATTTCCAGGTCAATCAACAGACAAGTATAATTATACAGGTGGGAGGTGCCAGGCGTGATCTAGACTTGGGGTGTCAAATTGTGCACTTGGAACCCCAGCGGGCGGTGGTTCCAAGGCAATGATGAGGTGATTCTGGGGTTTTGCCAATAGCGAAGTATCCAACTGCCTGGGGAATCTTTAGGCAATTTACAGGGTAGGTCTTTGATTTTGCCTTTGAATAGATATTTGTTCTGCTACAGTTTGAAAACTACTGGTCTGAAATGGACACTCTCATGCTGCTGTTGGGAGTGTGAATTGCTACCATGTTTGAGGAGGTAATCTGGCCATGATTGGCTCAAGGTCACACGGTCAGGGTCCAGTGACTCCCTTCCCCTGCCCTTTGCACCACCCGGCTTTTCGTCATATTGGACTTCCAAGGCCAATCAGCCCACTCGCTTGGCTGGAGGCAGTGGTGAGAGCTGAGTCACCTCCCTTCCTTCACTCCCCAGCCCTGTCTGGTCTGGGTGGCTGGCCAAGCCAGGCAGAAGGAGGTGACAGGCTCCCACCAGGGTTCCTCTTGGAAGAGAAAGCCCCATCTCCTCCGCTGTCAGCTGTCATCTTGGAGTGATGACCTGGGCTCCTGCTGCAGTTCCTCCCTCTTTACCTTCCTGAGGTTCAGCTTCCAGGTTCGGTCCGTGACCACATCCCCACTGGAGTCTTCCAGCTCACCTCCTGCCTGCTGAGCAGCTGCTGTGTTCGAAGTAAGCACAATCCAATTTTCAATGTACTAGTCATTGATTCTTGTGTGCTGGCTCCTCTTCCTAATCCTCATCACCAATTTTAGTCTCAAACCATTATTTAGCCGTTTTTTAAATCCCTCATCTCCCTGGCACCTTGCGTAGATAAGACCTTTACAGATAGCAAAATGCAGAGGTTTTCAAATTCGAGCAAAGGAAAACTAAAATCATCATGGACCCCTGGGAAGGCATGTGGCAACCTGTCACCTCCTTCTGCCTGGGTTGGCCAGCCACCCAGACCAGACAGAGCTGGAGAGTGAAGGATGGGAGGTGACTCACCTCTCACGACTGCCTCCAGCCGAGCGAGCGGGCAGACTGGCCTTGGAGGTCCTCCTCAAGGGTTAGAGAAGTGGGTGGGGATGTGTCCAAGTCAAGTGTGGCTGAGCTGGGCTTCAGGCCAGCTGCTGTTTGGCAGACCTGCCTCTGTATCTGCCATCTCCATCCTGCTTCTCTCTGTCACTTCCTGCCAGAAGCCGACTTCCACCAGGGGGCCTAGCACCATCCCTAGGCTTCCTATAGTAATGATTTTAATAGCCCTTTTTATTTTACACTTTAAAAGGGACATTATTATTATTATTATTTACAGCTGTGTGAGACGATTTCTTTCACAATTTGACAGATGAGAAAACTGAGTGAACCTATCTGCACTGAAGGCATTCACCCAAGATTTTCAGTGGAATGCTGGTATTTGAACCCAGCTGTCCTGACTCCCAGTCCAGGGCTATAACCACCCAATCATCGGGCCTCATTCATTAAACGGGTTTAGGTTCACTAAATTGTTGACAGGTGTTTAATGTACAGAAAAAAAGATTTTTAAAATTGTAAGAACTTGATTACTTCATAATTATTGTAATTCAAGCATGAGACAGTCTTAAGAGTTTTCTTCACTTTTTCTGTGCGCCTCACTTATCCCTAAGCACTTGTTATGCATATATGTTAAGCTCAATAAACAATAAACCAGGAAATATCTAGAATAATGGCATGTCTACTTGGGACTGACCTTAAGGAACGAAATTTATCATATGTCAGTTCTTTCTTTATAGCTAGTTAATTCATAAGGTTTAGTCCACTCCACTTTGAAATTATGGCTAATTTTGCTTTCACAGAATCTGAATTAGTGACATTTCATTGGAATATCAAACTTTATTCCATAATCTATTTCAGTGTTTCCACCTTATTCATAAGCAAATAAGTTCCAAACTAAAACAGGACAGCAGTCTCCTCG